TTTTTTATTATCAGATTTGTGTTAAACACTGTTGGCAAGGACAGTACATTTATGATGCTGTGCATTTCCCATTACATCACATTGCAAGGTCAGTTTGTTTTATTTTTGGTGATGCTAAGTTGGATTGCTCCATTAAGGTGGTTTCTCCATCATTATAAAGGTAACTTTGCTTTTTGCAATTAATAAGGAATCTGTGATTTTCAGACCATGTGACTATCCTGTTCCTCAAAAACCTTTCAACCAGTGGTTTTAGCATCCGTCAGTGACCTTTTCCTGTATCAGGAGTTTACAAAATTGTGATTTGCTAATTTTTATCACTCTTTTTAATTCATTAGTTGATGGTTTTCTATAGAGAAGAACTTTCCGTGACCTGTCCCTCCCTCCCTTCCTCCTCAAAGCAGACTCATAGATTTAAAAAATATATTAGATATGTTATTATCTATCACCATTATTATTATGCCCATAAGTTCTTTTTATAACTCTATTTACTTTTCACAGCTGCCCATTTTTTCTCTCATAGTCTTTTTCTTATAATTTTCATTTCTTTTTTAAAAAAACTTTCTCTAATATGTCAAATTACAAGTCCTTTAGATTGTTGTTGTGCTCTCTTGAGTTCTTGGGAGTCCTGGTTGGTTTAACCGGTTTTCACTTTTGGTGCATCATTTTCTGATGCACCCTCTGTGGACCCTCTGTGGAAGTGCCCCCAGGTAATTTCACATTGCTTTGGTTACGTGTGAGGGGATGTCACTGGCCTGGGAAGTCTTATGTTAATTTCTTATATTCTGGATTCTTGTGTTCCATGAGTGAGGTCAATTTGGACTCCATTCATACTGGGTTCTGTTTTCATCAAGTAGGACATACAATAAGTGATCAGCATCTTTATTCTCATGGGACACCTTTTTGGAATCCATAAGTAATTTAGTCAAGTATCCAGTACCAAACATAAAGGACAGAGCATTTCCTCATGAGCTCTGTTTTTGTGTCAAGAGCTGGTGAAATTTTCTGACTGTTGGGATACATACATAGTAGGGCATCTTCAAGAATAGTATGGGCACAACCTCTCATAGCCCCTGAACCTGATCATGTCCCACAGTGAGTGGGCATGCTCAGTCGTCCCCCAAGGCACAGGTGAGGCAACTGGATGCCCACAGAGGGTAAGTGACTTGCCCATGGTCATGGAGTGAGGGGGAGCAGGGACAATAACTCAGGCCTGCGAGTGGCCCTTTCCACCCGCCAAGATTCAGTTACCCGGGGATTGATTCCTGGCCCCAGGTAGCTCCAAACACCCGCAGTGACCTGGCCCTTGCCTCTCCCTCAGGGGCACAGAGGGGAACTCGAATGGAAAGTGGAGGCCCAGACACAGCAGGCGAGCTGGCTGCCTGTGGCCTGCCTCCCGTGGATTTATTAGATGCACATTTTGACACATACCTCTGGGTTATCTGCAGAATCAAATTTTGAAAAAGTGTTTTGAATCCTTGATTTATCTTTTTGTCATTGTTTTTTTCATAATAGTTTTCATTTAAAGGGAAGAACATGCTTTTGAACTGACCTTTTAAACTTTGTAATGCTCATGCCACAAAGGGAGACATAAAAGGAACAAAAGGCACATTCCCTGGGTGTGAGCATACTTGAAGTCTCCTCTGGTGATGAGATCTATGGGAAATGGGCACAAAGCATCTGAGCTGGGCTCCTGCGGCTGATGGATGGCGCTCTGGGTGGAAGTCCCATGACCGGGAGAGGCCCAGCTGTACCCTGCTCAGCAGGAATATCACCCCCACCCTCTCACCACAACTCAGGGCCACCCTCGTGCCTCGTGGCTTTGCCCTCAGGAGCCAGGGGGGCCACTTGAGAGGTTTGGACTTTGTCCCACGGTCCACAGGGATCCACGGAGGATTCTGGGCTGGGAAGGAAGTGTAAAACAGAAGAAAGAGCCAAACAGAGCATTTAGAGCCAGCGGCCTGGGTTTGAGTCCTGGCTCTGGCACATCTAAGTTGTGTTACCTTATGTGAGTCGCCAGCTCCTAGGAGGGTCACTTGATCCTTGGCGTCCATTTGGGAGCACTGCCTAGGTGCTGGGCACAAGGGATACAGAGGTGGCCAGGAGAATCCTCCGTCCTTTGTTCCTCCTTGATTATTTCTCTTACCACATGTATTGGTTTCCCATGGCTGCTGTAGTGAATCACGACAGACTTTGTGGCTTAAAACATGTTGACTTTATTATCTCACTGTTCTGGAGGACTGAAGTCTGAGACCAGTTCCACTGGGCTACAGTCAAGATGTTGGCAGGGCTAGTTCTTTCTGGAGGTTCTAGGGAGACTCTTTTCCTTGCCCTTTGTAGCTTCTATGGCCACCGCATTCCTTGGCTTGTGGCCCATTCCTCCGACTTCATAGTGTATCACTCCAGCCTCTGCTTTCGTCGTCACATCAGCTCTCTTCTTCTCTGTCAAATCTTGTGCTTCCCTCTTACAAGGTCTCACCTGGGTAATCCAGGATACCCTCCTGCATCTCAAGATACTTAATCTTATTTACAAAGTCCTTATACCATATAAGGTACCATTCCCAGGTTCTAGGGTGTGGATTTCACTGGGGGCCGTTGTTCAGCCTACCACACCACCTCATATTGCAGTTATGTGTGTCCATTCTACAAGGCTGGGTCTCCCTTGGCAGGGAGACAGGCCTGTCAGATAACTGCCGCATGTTTGCTGGGCGAGTGAGTGAAGACATGAATGAGTGCATGCTTTGGAGTTGAGAAGGAGGCAACAACTCAGTTGGGCTGTAGAAGATGAGTGTGGGTTGCCAACGGATATTCTAGGCAAAGTGAACAGCTTATAGAAAGGTTTAGAGTCTTGGGCTGAGAAGTTGGGCATGAAGGGAATGCAGGGTCTCGGAGTGTGAGGGTGCAGAGGGGGATGAGCTGGGGTGGTGGGTGGCCTGGTCATAGACAGCCCACAAGGCACCCAAGTGGGCCTGGATTTTACTTTATAAGGAAGCAGTATATGTGGGGGTCTTTGGAGCCATTGCCTGTGCTCAAATTCCTGTGCTGCCACTTCCTTGCTGTGTAACTCCGGGAAAATTACCGGACCTCTCTGAGACTCAGTGCAGTAACTACTGTTTTGAGAAGCAGAGGACTTTTGATACTTGCAAAACATTCAGCGTGGTGCCTGCAACAGTCAGAGGAGTCAGATAGCAGTATTTGCTGTTGCATTGCTGTCATTTTAATGAATATTATTATTGATAATGATGATGATGATGGGGAACCTTTGAAGAAGCTCAGCCAGGCAGCAGTATGGTCCGATGTTCTCTTTAAGAAAGATGCCTTTGCTCAGCCGGGCGTGGCTCAGCGGTTGAGCATCCACCTAGGATCCAGGAGATCAGGGCTCGATTCCCGGTCAGGGCACATGCCAGGGTTGCGGGCTGCAGCCGATCAATGACTCTCTCATCACTGATGTTTCTATCTCTACCTCTCCGTCTCCTTTCCTCTCTCTGAAATCAATAAAGATATATTTAAAAAAAAAAAAAAAGATGCCTTTGACACCCATGTGAAGATGTAGGGGGCCGGCACAGGGTGGGGTGTTCCACTCGGGGGTCCAGAAACCAGCTAGGAGGCTGTAGCAACGATCTGGGTAAGAGATGAAGAGGCAGAGAGCAGAGATGGGTCCTTGAGAGACATTACCACCCTCGGGATGCTCCAGAGGTGTCTCACACCTGTCTCAGTTACTGCTTTTCAGAGGGGGGTGCTGATGTGCAGCAAGGGAAGGACACCTTGTCTTAATCTCTGGATGGAACAGTGATAGACGGTTTAGACAGAAGTGGGACTCAGGTCCTCAGCCTTCAGTGGAGGAGCTGGTCGGGGTGGGAGGGCAGGCGGAGGCTTCTGATGTGAGTGCCGGGGGCTGTCACATCCTCTGCTGCCCACCCATGCCTTTGCACCTCTTTGCAGCACCTTCTGGGCCATTCCCCAGGAGGATGGTCACAGAATCCTGGCAGCTGGGGCACAGAGCGGGGCGGTTTTGAATGGAGCAAAATGGCTGGATGAGTGGGGGGGCCAGGGGAGGAGTGTGGCCGCCTGGGGGGAGGGGGAAGCGCTCCGTGTTCCAGCACCAGCGTAGGAAACCCGAGCGCTCGGATTTGGTACTGCATGTCCTCGGCGGTCTTCCACTCACGCCCCTTCATACATCTTCGGGAGGAAGCCAATTCAATAGAACCTCCCGTGGCAAGATTACAATTGTTACTTCAATCATATCTTACCCCGCAGGGATGTTGGAGGAAAATATATTTCAATGCCACCATCAAAAGAGCTGTCATTTTGAACATAGTGAATGGGTTTTCAGAGAGTTATGTCACATTGTTATTTTTAATACATTCTTTTTAGAAAATGATTTTACTTTAGTTCAGATGGATGCCTGCTGCGGTGGGGGATCCTAAAGAGAGTTAAATACAGGTAGATTGTTTTAGGAAAGTTCCTCATGCAAACACCTAGTTCACAAATCAGAAGTGCAGCAGTTTCTGAGGTAAGAGAGAAGGGTACAGGACAGGCTCTGGGGCGCTGAGATGGCTGCTGATAGCTTTACAGGAAAGCTGGGAGAAAGGAGGCAAACTAGAGATGAGGTGGAAGTAATCTGCCTAATGATACAAGAACTTGTGTGTGTGTGTGTGTGTGTGTGTGTGTGTGTGTGTGTGTTTCCCAGCAGTATCATGGTGACATCAGCAAATTAACTTGCATTAGGTTCTTGGCAGGTGTCAAACTATATTGTGGGTGTGTGTGTCTGTCTGTAAGAACATTCAGCATTGAGAGGCACCTTGGCGATGATTTGGTCCAATCCAATATGGAACCCGTGGCTCAGAGAGGGAGAGCGACCAGTGCGGGGCGCACACAGCGCGATAGGGCCAGGGCTGGAGAGAACCTGTCTCTTGAACCCCGTCCAGTGGCCTCCCATTCTCCCCTGCTGTTTGCATCTCTGCCATTCTCCTCGGATACATTGACATTTTTTTTCTTTCTAGGAAAACTCAGTTGCCAGTGTCCAGCACAGCTGACGGTGAGCTGGGTGCCCTGCAGCTTGGTAGGTGTGACTGAGGCCTCTGTGCTGTGCCTGTCGGGGCTCAGGAGTCGCCCTGTCCTCCTGGGAGGTGACGGGGGGTGGGCTCTGTACTGGCCAGTGGGGGCTCCTTTCCTCCCCCCAACCTCAGGAAGGAGGGGCTGGCAGCACGCAGAGCACGCTTCTCTCTCTCCTTGCACCACTGTCTTTCCCTCCTGGAGAAATCTCATGAGGATTCTGTGCTTCTCCGCATCCACACTGGGGGCCAGAGGAGCCTTTTCTGCATTTGGGGGTTCTCTTAGGGCCATTCAGAATCTGCAGAGGTCTCCAGAAAGCTGTTCTCAGTCAAAATATTAGTTCAGCTGTGCCTGGGGATGGCCCTTCTTCTAAAAAATGTATCAATGCGTGATTGAGGAGTAAAATAGGACCAGTGAGGTGGTGAGGGCGCAAGCCCTCAGTGCTCAGCTCGGTGCATGCTCGCGTATGTAGACAGGCCTCGCTCCTCGTGCACGCCTTAGTTTTGACGCAGCCTTTCCCCCTCTTTCCGTAATTCCCTAATCCCCAAAGACGGGTGTGTCTGCGGGCTTGGCAAAGGCGGCAGTGGATGGAGGGTGATGAGCACCCACCAGACAGGACCGGATGGGCCGAGGGCCTTTTATATTCCCTGTTCTTCTGGGAGCCAGTGATTTGCCTGTTGATGAGAGCTGTGCACACACTTTCCCTCTCCTTTTAAGCTTCACTCCCTTTTAAACTGAAGGCGGGAAGCAGCGGCCCCTCAGAAGGGCCTGGGAGACGTGCTGTGCCGGCTGATGGTTCCCGTTGATGGAGCTGAAAGGTGGGGCAGCCTGGGTGGTGAGGCAGAGCCTTGTCCGTGCTGCTTAGCTCACTTCAGAGGCAGCAGGTCCTCAGGGTTTGACTCATCGGAGATGGCTGCTGGGGGTCGCCTGGCCCCCGGGAAGGGGCCGCTCTCTGCCCCCGGCCGTGCAGAGTGAGTACGGAGCCAGGAAGAGCTGGTGTGGGCCATGCTGGGGGAGCCTCACTTGAGGATTTCCCACCGAAAGCACTCTCGTTTGGCCATGAAGTAAAGCTGTCCCTGGCCTTCAGAGCCCAGCGGGCTTCTAGTGGAAGGAAGGCTTTTAGCAGACCCCTCGGAACCCGGCTCTTTGAAGCACGCGTGTGTTTTCTAGAAGACGCAGCCCCTCTTTGCCAGCGGGTCAGCTCGGGATTTCATAGAGGAGGAGACAAAAGGCCCATGGAACCCAGTCGCCAGAGGAAGGGAGCGAGGTTTTGGGGCGGGGGCGGGAGCAAGGAGTAGGATTTGGTCAGAGGAGCAGCACTCTCTCCCCACCCCAATTCCTTTCTCCTTGGCTCAGTTCAGCAGACTTGCTGGCAGTTCTGCGCCAGGGCGCATGCAGGACCGCCGCGAGGAGACGGAGGCGAATCAACTGCTTTCCCCCTCAGAGCGCAGGGCTGGGTGGCAGCGCAGGCTTCTGGAAGTTTCCATGGCGAGGTGGGATTTAGACTGGGCTTCAAAGGATGGGCAAAGTCTTGCCAAGTGGAGGTATGAAGCAAGCCTCATGGGCCAAGGCCGAGTGTGAGAGAGAGAGGTCGGCTTGCGGTGACCTGCCTGGAGGGGGAGCTGTGGGGTGCAGGCAGATGAGGCCAGGAAGGAGGGCTGGGGCAGGCAAGGATGGTCTTGAGCGCTGTGCTAAAGAAAGGGACTGTGAACCATTAGCCAGCAGGCAGGCGTCTGTGCTGGCTAGTAACACGTCCCTGGCTGTGTGTTTGGGGCCATCTCTGGATGTGTGTGGGGGATGGGTGTTAGGAGGAAGAGCCTGGACCTTGGGAGACTGGTGAGGGGGCTCTTGGAATAGTCCCAAGAAGAGTGGTTGGCCCCCTGTTCTCTATGGGGAAGAGCTATGGGTATTTCAAGACCCTGCTCAAATATTTACCTTTTATGGGATGTTTCCCTGACCTTTTAAGGAAGACTGACTTGCCTCTTCCCCTCTGCTCTTAAACCCTTTGCACACTCCTCTGTTTCAGCACTTACCTCATGTTATCAGTTTGGGGCTCTGTCTCCCCCTCTAGTCGGGGATCTGTCTCCCTGAAGGCAGGGTGATGTTTCAGTCATCACCTCTTCTCTCCCACACAACCCCTGGCACATTACGAGTAAAATGCTTGGTGGGCAAATGGAAAAATAATGACATGTTCCTGTAGCAGTGAGAGAAAGGGCAGGGCAAGGTAGGAGACATTCTGGAGGCAGAATGACCTGGAGGCTGGTGCAGCGTGGAGTGTGGAAGAGGGTCCCTGGTGGAGGGCTGGGGAGATGGAGTCTGCTTTCAAAGCCAAGGCCTGAGGGGTGCTGTGCTGAGACTCTCAGGGGTGCTGGGTACTTCAGGAGAAAGATACCTTGCAATCAGTAAGAAATACCCACAGGCACCTGGGAAAAGACATATCAGGGGCCTCTATTCTGTGTTAGAATCTACATATGTTTTCCTCCAAGGGGTAAATGAAATGGGGTGGGAAACAAAATCTCTGCTTCTTTTCAACCAGATATTTATGCCAGGGCCTTAAAAATAGCATTCTCCAACCACCGGCATTTGCAGCCGGTTTTGTCTGCTTGGCTAACGTGTCATTCAGCAGTGCTTTGTTTTTCCCTCCCATGGCGGTCCCGCCACATCTGGGCCCTGAGGCCTGCCATGTGGTGCTGAACCAACTGCCAGCATCCTCCTGGTGGAAGCCAAGGCAGGCTGTCTCCTGCGCCTCCACCCGCTCTGCTTTCCCTGGGCCTTCAGCCTGCATCCCTAGACTCACTCGATGGGGCCCAAGCAGAGCACGGTTCAGCCCGGCTCCCTCCTGGACAACCTCAGGTTAAACAGCAGCCTCCAAATAGGCTTAGATGTTGCCCCTTCTGTTTCTCCAGGAAAGAGTCTGGCCTGAGGCATTGCAAGGAGCCCTCAGGGCCTTGGGGAACCACTCAGGTTACTCTCTCCCTCTGTTGTGGGCCTCTGGTTCTGTGGTTGAATTATTTCTATTCCAGCAGCCAAAATTCTTGTATTGATCTTTGCAAAGCCTTCCCTCCTCCTTTGTGGTGGACTGAGCCCCCAGGCGTAGGCCTCTTGCTGTGTCTGGTCCTCCCCCAGGGCAGAAAAGGAGGCCCTAGAGTAAGATATAAGGTTAAGACATGTGTCCCAGCGTTATTGGCCTTTGGGTACCATCTCCAGAAGATGTGGGGCAGGAAGAGTGACAAGTCTGTAGTCCCAGATGCACAGAATTATGGGAAAGAATGTTGATACCTATCCAGTGTAGTGCGCTTTTTATAATTACCATTTAATCTTGGGAAAATGGGAAGAAAACAGGAGGCTCCAGAGGCCCTCTGGAGACCGGCCTGCTCAGCTCTGCCAGCTTAATTGCCTTGGGTGGTTCTCACTTGGGTCCTTCCTCTGAGTGTTCTGGGAAACGCTGCCGTGGTGGGTGGATGGTGAGAGGGAGCCTCGGCTGCCAGGAAGGCACAGGCTGGTGCTGCCAGACTCATGTGGGACCCTGTCTGGGCCTCAGTCGCCCCAGCTGTAAGGAGACTGTAATCCGGAATGTGACCAAGTGTCTCTTCTGGCTGGAGGTCCAGGGACGTAGGGCTGGCCGGAAGGCAGACCAGTGAGGAGAAGGCCTGCGTTTTTGCCTCGTGTCTGCCACTTCCCATCTCCGTGACTTTGGGTCAGTTATTTACCTTCTCTAAGCCTCAGTTTTCTCATCTGTAAAGGGGAGGTATGATAATTACTCCCTTAGGGGCTTAGGTGATAAAACACGAGTGGTTAATAAGTGAAAAAGGTAATAGTGCTAATCTGTTATTTTATCAGGAATGGCGATATTTCCTGTGCTAATTCTGCCCTCTTCATGTTTGTCCTCAGGGGACAGACTTGTGCATCCTGCCCATCTTTCATAAGAAATGTGTCTGGGCGAGGCTTTCTTGGCCCCACTTGAGGGCTCAGGCCCCTGGCACTTGTTCCTCTGCGTGCCCTCGAGCAGAACTTGCAGGGGACCAGTAGCCCAGTGTCACCCGCCAGCAGCCTTGTGGCCTGGGCCAGCGTGGGGTTTGGACAAGAGCAAGGGTTGGTGTTGGTGGAGGAGCCCGCCTGTCATTCAGAGCCTCTCAGAACTCATCCTGCCATTGGGGTTAAGCGGCGTGGCGGTCCAGCTCCGCGGGTCAGAAGGAGGAGCTCATGCTGCGCTCTCTTTCAGAGGATGTGGAAGATGAATCGATGCGTGAGGAAGCCATTCTCTCTCCGGTCCCATCAGCACTCAAGCTGCAAACAGTGTCAATGCCAATCGACCTCTCAGTGGCAAAGGTAGGTGTCAACCTAGAAGCGCGAGTTGATACATCTCGATCTGAATGGGTGTGAACTGGGGCGGTGTGAATTGGAGGCAGTTTGATCTGAATTGGTGTGAATGAGGGGGTTTTGATCCTTCTGGCCCCATCCATGCAGTATAACTGCGCCTCAGTTGTCGTCCAAATGGAAATGTGGGTGGGACGTAGAAGGAAACCTGACCTGAGAGTCAGGAAAATGGCCTAGTCCTGGCGGCTCCCAGCCCTCCCCAAGGTGAAAGGTCTCAGCCTCCTCCCATTCAGACTTTGCAGGCTCCTGTTCTTTCGTCCCGAGGCAGCTCCAGAGCTGGGACGGCCGTGGGATAATTGTCCTCACTAGACTGGCTCTGCTCCTGCTCTCCTCTCTGGGCTCAGGCTGGGTTGCAGTGAGGAAGGACAGGGAGGTGTTAACAGTTCTTCGGCACCCTCTGGGCTCACACCTATGGTCTCCCAGGAGGATGTCTGGGACCTAGGGAGCAGATTCCTGGCCTTAGCAGCCTCGTCTGCAGGGGTGTCCAGGATTCTGCACCCCATCTCAGCTACCAGATGGCCGCACCCCTACCCTTTGCCAGTGGAATGAATTCTGCTCCTGCTGTCCATCACTGGCTCTTCAGCCAGGACCCAGGAGGAAAAAATAAAACTCCTGGGGGCACAGCTGACCCCTTCTCTTCCTACTTACCAGGTATGTACTCAGCACATAGATCAAAAGTCAAAGATTTTTCTAGCGTTTTTCACTCCCTCCCCTCCCTTTTCCTTCCTTCTTTGAAACCACAAAGGGTCAGGTATGTGTTAGTGGCCCTGAACCTTGGAGGAAGTACTCTGGTGACCTGTTGCCACAGGGCTGTGGTTCTCTGCAGTGGCGACCCACATCTCGGGAAGGGTCCTTAGAGGCCTGTAGAGACCAATCAGCAGTAGCATCTCCTAAAGCAGCTGGAAAACCTGAGGCCCATACAGAAAAGGAGGGCCCAGGGCTCCTGGCTCTAGCCCTGTGACCTGGCAACCGTGCTGGGCCTAGCTGGGAGCTGTCATTCTGTGATTAAGAGAACAGATGGGTTTCAGCCAGGACATTCAGGTCCCGCTAGGTTCTGGGCTCTCGGGAAACTCAGTTCAAGTACATGGATGATGGTAGTTGGTGCAAGGAGCCAAGCCCTGCAGATGAGCTCACCCACCCCCCTTTCCTGTGCCACCAGCCCACCTTTGATGGCATGTGGACAAATGCTTTGTCACAGAGATTTCCCTTATACTCCATGAAAAGAAAAAAGCAATTTTAGAGGGAAATATGAGCTTGTGGGAAATATCTCAGCCAGGGTAGGGCTCTGCAGAGGTGGCATCAGAATCCACATGCTGGCATCTTCGGAGATCCCTGGATGTAAAATTATGGTGGAGAGAGAGGAGGTAGTCAGTACGGGGAGTGGGCATCCGGAGAGAGGCTCTGCCTTCCTGTCCAAGGGCAGTCAGTGGGTAGGGGTTGGCTCTTTCTGGGGCTCTGGAGCATGGGGCTTGGGTTGATGGGAGATTAACCGTGAGCTCAATGTGAGCCAGAAGTTTAGAGAAGACAGAGCCTTGGAAGATGGTGGGAACTCCTTCACTGGATGGTAGCTGTGTTCCAGCCAAGGTCTTGGGGGACCACTCTTAGGTGATATTGAAGAGATTCTTACATGTAGTAAGGGGTTATACTAGAACAGGGGTTGGCAGACTTTTTCTCTAAAGGGCCAGATAGTATATTTTTGGCTCTCTGTTGCAACCACTTAACTCTGCCATTGCAATGTAAAAGCAAACATAGATAATATATGAACAAATGGACATTGATTACTGTGTTTCAACAAGACTTTATAAAACAAGTAGGGGGCCAGATGTGGCCTGTAGGTTTGCTAAGCCTAGCCTAGAGCACCAGTTCTCAAACTTGGCTGCACACTGGAATCACCTGGGAGCTTTTAAAAATATAGGCACCGGAGTCTGAAGCCCAGGGTTTCTGATTTCGTGGGCCTGGCATGTGGCCTGGGCATCAGGATTGTTAAGAGCTTAGTAGGTGATTACAATGTGCAGTCAATAACTTCCAAGTTCCCTTGTAAAACTAAAATTTTGTGTTTCACGTTTCCTCTAAGGAACCTGAAAAGGTTTTGGCCTGGGTCAGCACAGGCTGGTTTGGTTTACAGATGTTCTGGAGGTAAGACCCTCAGGGTTGATTTTATTACTCCCAATATGAGAAGAATGGGTTTTCAAATAAAAGGAAAATAGGTATGCTTCTGGAGAATGGACGGCCCTGCAGGGTTCAACACCAGCTCCTGTGGGAACACACCTACCGAGCAGTGTGCTGTTTACTCTTAAAACAGCCAATGAGATGCTCTCTTCCTTTGACAGGACATAAAGACCCTTCTGTTCGGTTCCAGTTTTTGCTGTTTCAATGAAGAATGGAAACTTCAGAGTTTTTCGTTTAATGACACAACCCCGTTGAAATATGGCATTGTGCAGAACAAGGCAGGTAGCTCTTACGTTTCCCCAGGACCTTTCCATGGGCCCCTCATGGACAGGGGTGGCGTGTACCCCAGTGGGATAAGCCCTAAACCCTACAAACATTACTTGGGCTACCCGTGCTGGCCAGCCCCCCATTTGCTGGTTGTCACCAGTGTAGGAACTTCGCCTGAGGCCTTCAGGATAGGCCTTCAAGGCTGGGGAGACAGGTGACACCCTCAGCCTGTGGACACAGAAGCATTTCCCTGGGTGACTGGAAACCGATGGTGATGTCCTGGCTTTATATCTGGCTGGTTGTGAAGTCACTTTCCTTCCATCAGACATTGCAGACTCACTCCTCCTTCTAGTCATGGCTGCATGGGCTTTGGTCATCTCCTTTCCACGACTGGGGGTCAGCACGTCAGAGACCCCTGTCTCTGAGGCCGTGGATTAGAGGGGCCCTGTGTTCTGTCACCTGTGGGCAGAGCTGATTCTGCAGGAACAGACGGCTCTGCCCTAGATCACTTCACACTGGCACTAACACGTGTCCTTCTCTGCAGGGTGGTCCCTGTGGGGTTCTGGCGGTTGTCCAAGCCTGTGTCCTACAGAAGCTCCTATTTGAAGGAGACAGCGGAGCTGACTGCGCTCTGTAAGTCGGCACTCATTCCTGCAGTCACCTTCTTTTCCCGAGGCTCCCCCTAAGTGGTCAGGAAAATAAGGAAGCGCATGACACTTCTGTCTCCTGGAAAGGGGAACGGTGGCTGCCTAACGGGGCCTGCCCTGCCCCGTGAAATGGGTTGCATGCACGTGTCTAAAGGCAGGGAGGGTTGCTCCGTGCTGTCCATGTGGTCATTGGCTGCCAGGATGGCATCGGAACTGAGACCACCCCCCTCCAAAGTCAAGTGCAGCAGCCGTCCACACCCACGCCTGCTGACCCTTCCCCTGAGCCTGGGTCTCACCTCCCTCCCCGTTACCTCACCTCTGCCAGCAGCCGCTGCCACGCATTCCAGCCAGCCCCGCGGGACCAGCAGCCACGCCCTCCTGCCATCTGTTCCCCAGCTCTCACATCAAGTGTTTGCTCATGGGCACCTCAGTCTCACTCTCACTCACTCAGCAGACATTTCTGGAACATTTCTGTGCTGGCATAAGATATGGAGCCTCTATTCTCCAGAAATGCTCTGTCCAGCTGATGGGTGGATAGAGATCCGTACTCCTGCACCATGGGTAGTGCAGACAGGAGCTGGGTGGCGCGCTGGCTGGGGCCAGGCCCGCAGGGCCTCAGTGGGCAGGCTGCCTTCTTCCCTTTTCCTCACTGCAGGCCAGTTGCTAGCTTGTTGTTTTAGTTGAAATAGAGCACACATACAGAAAAGTGCACAATCCAAAACTACACAACTCACAGTGTTCTGCTTAATGAATTATGCCAAAGCACACCTGTAATTACATCATCCAGTGCCCAGAAGAATCCTGTCCAGGAGATACGTCCATTCTCCTCCCCAAAGCTGTCATTAAACAGACCCTAAAGTCACACTTTAGTTTAGCCAGTTCCTGACCTAGAATTGAAAGCCATTGTTTTTTGAACTAAGCATTTCATTCCCTTTTTTTTTTCCTTTTTAAAAAATATGTCTGTATTGATTTCAGAGAGAGGAAGGGAGAGGGAGAGAGAGAGGTAGAAACACCAATGATGAGAGCATCATTGACTGGCTGCCTCCTGCACACCCCCAACTGGGGATTGAGCCCGCAGCCCGGGCATGTGCCCTGACTGGGAATCGAACTGCGATCTCCTGGATCATAATTTGATGCTCAACCACTGAGCCATGCTGGCTGGGCTCATCACCTTTTTTTTAAGCTCAGGTGTTATAAAGCAACAATGCCCATTCCCCATTCACTTGGGTTCAGATTCCCCAGATGATCAGACAAGCTTGGTGCAAATGAAACACGCTACCAGCTTCGATGACCTTGTCTTAGACAGGGTCCAAGTGAAGGTGGCTTGTCATGCTTGGCATTTTATCATTTGTCTAATAGTTGCTTTACAAAGTAATAAGGTGTTTTTCTCAAGTCAAGAGATGCTAACTGTAAGCACAGCATCACCCTAATCAGAAGCACAGTGACAACTCACTTGTCCTTGTTCTCTAGACCCCCTCCCCGTCCCACCCTGCTCCTCCCATCCCCCAGGTCCATCCCTTGCTGTTTCCATCTGTCAGGACCACTCCCATGGTCTGCTCTGGACGCCCAGGCCCAGCCGAGTGCAGGCAGCTTGTTGACCCTCCTGAGAGACCAGCACGATGCGGGATGTTCAGGAACGCTCCTGACTGGGTGGTGGGCTCTGCTCAGTGAGGGGCCCTGGCTGCCCTCGAGAGTGCAGGGGCCCCTCTGAGCACACCGTGCCCACCTGCCTCTTCCCTCCCCGCACTGGAAGGAAGCGTGCAGGGAGGGCTTAGCAGGTGCTTAGAGGGAAGACGGGGCTCAGTGTGACAGCTGTGGTCTTGCCCTCATGACACCTCCAGTTGACCTCAAGAGCCAGACAAGTAGGGGGTTACAGGGGACATGCAGGATGCTAAGGATTGGCCTGGATGTGAGGGTCGGCAGGCTGCGGGAGGAGTGACGGGAGTGACAGTTCATCTTGCCGCAGGCTGGAGGATGAGCACGACTGCTGATTCCTCTTCACACACAGCCTCTCACACGCTTATTCCTCCCTCAGTGTCCCCTTCCCCGCAGACCCCTCCCACTCCTTCCCTGCTCTTTAGGCCTCGTGTGCTGGCTTCTCACTGCACAGGGTCCCTGACTTCAGGGAGGCCTTCCCAGACCTCCCCACTTGAGACAAACCCGGGCCTGCCTCCAAGCCCTCCCCCCTAATTAGTGCCCTGTTCATCCACATCGCTGCCTGTCATTGTCTGTCCACAGGCCCCACCCAGACACAAGCCCTAGGAGAACAGGGGCCTTCCTGGGCTGCCTGGTTCACAGCCCGTCTCTGGCCTCCCGCCCAGGCCTAGTCCTCAGAAGAGGCCCTCAGAATTGTTGCTGAATGAATGCATGGACAAATGCATGAGTAATCCAGACTGACAGGGAGGGGAGGGGAATGGTGTTCCAGTCAGGAGAGCGACATCCGGAGGGGCCCGAGGGGAGGGGCAGCAGGGCTGGGAGAAGAGCTGAGGGTGGCCTGGGGTGGCCAGGGCAGAGTTTGGAGGGGCAGGGGGAGACCAGGGCAGGATGAGACCAGGGCAGGACAAGACCGGGACAGTGGATGGGTCAGGGCCAGGCTGCCAGAGGGGCCTTGGTGCCTGGCCACCTGCTCGGGTCAAGCGTTGGCCCTGGCCCTCATGGGAGATGTCTTACAACTCATTGCAGCCCCATGCCCCTTCGGAGCTGCTTTTGAACTTGGACTCTGGACTTCTGAGGAAGTTGTGGATTGTGTTTCGATAGTCGAGGCAAGGATTTTAAGTTGGTTCCAGGAATGGCTGTGTCTGCCCAGGGCTTTGGGCAGGCTTGGTTCCTTATTGCCCACCCTGCATGCCCACTAATGGGACGTGAGATCCCCTGGGTCCCCAGGCACATCGTTGGGACTGAGCCTTGCTCTGCACACCAGAGACAAGAGCCAGGGCTCGGGAGACAGAAAACCATCCAGGTTGGGGACCCAAGGTGGGTTGTGGGAGGAAAGAAAACTGTGCCAGCTGTGGGAAGTAAGGTTCTACCTCTCACTGCCTGCCAGTCAGCCACTGGCCAAGCACAGACTCAGGCCCAGTATATATGGACAGATGTCTGTCTATTAAAGCAGCGATTAGATGGAGAATTCTGCCAAGGCTTTGCTGGGGAGGAGGGAATGCAGCCTTGTATCCCCCACCCCACCCCTGGGATCCCCGTCTGCTCTGTGTTTTATGAAGGGCTTCTCAGCAGAACCTCCCCTTTTCCCCTAATTTGGAAAAAATCAATACAGAAGTGTACAAAAACCAAGACAGCAAATACCTGGGAACCTGCTGCCTCACATGAAAAAAGGGTGACACCTGGCATCTCTGTGGGGGCCTCTCTTAGTCCCCAGCCCCTCTGGTTCATGATTTATTTCTTTAATTTTGATATTGACTGACTGGGCCATTGATGATCTGGCACTGGCCATGTGTGCTGGATTGAGTTTGAGGCTTTAGTGCTGCCTTCTGACTCTGAAATTCCAGGACCTCAGAAATGATCCAGTTTAAAAAAAAAGCAGGCACATGCCTGTCTCTTCAGGAACACCTGGCACAGCCCACCTGGGCAGCGCCTGCAGCTGGCGAGCTCTAGGGAGGGGGCTCCAGGACCTGTGGCCCCAGAGGGGCTCCACACTTGCCTTCCTGGCTGGGTCTGCAGACGGGGTGGAGACCCTCCTTGCTCTCCCCTCTGGACCATTGGAGAAATGGTTCTGTGAAAGCCAGGAGGATGTGACTGCGCCCTCCAGGGAAGTCATGCTGAAATAAAGGTTTCTTGGCAGGGGTGGTGTTTTTTCTACGGGACCGTCTGGCTTCATTAAGACTCACTCCATCAGGCCGGCAGCTGGCCTCTTTTCCATGCGGGAGGACAGCGCCGGGCGGCAGTGCTCAGTGTTTTTCCACTCGAGGAGGGGGTGTGCCAGCCGCTTAGCTGGTGGGAAAAGACGATGAGCCCTCATTGCCCCGCAGGCCTGGACAGAGCTGCGGAGTGAACAGGGTCCTCTCACCTTCACTTTCCTTCTGAAATTGGGGAGTTTGAGGCCTAGAGGGGGGGGGGCACTTGCCCGAGACCCCTCCAGACACTGGGAGCAAAGCCAGGCTTGGGACCCAGGTCCAGGGGCCCCCAGGGCAGCCTTCTTCCCAGCCCTCCAGCAGCTTTGGACCGTGTGAGAGGGAGCAGATGGACTAACTGACCCCCACTCATTGGCCAGCTTTCCTCTGATTTTCCTATGAGCTCAGACTGGTGGGCCTGTAGGAGTGGGCAGTTCAGGCTGTTTTAAGATATTAGGGTCGAAACATCTCCGAAACTTGGGTAATTTAGGCAAACGCAGAATGGACCCTTTCCCCACTCCCACCCCATCCCCAGACAAGTGTGTTCATCCTGCACTCTTCCTGTGCGAAGTAGAGTCTTAAACTTCTTGGTTTAAGAGCCCGGCCAGGTGCGAGATGCTTGGTAGGACTTTGATAGATGTGTGTCTGACTGATCAAGGCAACTCAGAACTGTCCTGGTCACCAAGATGTGGCCAGTGAAGCAGACACCACTCATCTGGTGGCAGTGGAGCCTGGGTGATTGAGCGCATCACCCCTTCCTGATTTTCACACCGGCACGCACACCCAGTCTTCCCTGGGGCTGGTTAAATGGCAGGGTGGCAAGACTGGAATGATACCCAGTGCTCCATTTATAGGTGGGGAGGCAAAAGTCAGCAAGGGTAAGGGGCTTCCCAAGGCCTGGGAGCCAGGAGTGGAACCCAGGCCCGACTGCTGCACTTGCCCGACTCCACGGTGCTCTCTGGAACGCTGTGTCACATGAGCAGGCCGGGGAGGCTCAGGGAAGGACAGAGACACCGAGAAGTGACTAAGTGGAAGCCCGGAAAAGAGCGAGGCCTTTTGTGTAGAAACAGGTTCTGAGGGTCTGTAACCAGGAGCATGGGGCTGGAAAGGGGCTGGAAAGACAGCTCGAAGGCAGAGGGAGGCTGGTTCTCAAAGCCAAGTGCGCCAGACGGTCCGTTCCATTTCCCAAGTCCTTGAGACTTCCTCTCTGAATGCTGTTTTAAGGTGTCTAATTTTTACTGTGTGATTTAGGGTGAATTTTTTGGTCTCTGTGCCTCAGTTTTCCCATTTTGAAAAGGGGGTTATAGTACCTGCCTCCTTCACAGGGTGGTTTTAATGGCTAATGAAAGTACAGCTGTCCAGAGCCCTGGAAAAGGGAAACCGAAGGAAGCGTCTGCGTTTGGCTGTTGCCCCTCCTCCCTGTCATTCACCTCACCCCCCAGGGGCCTCTAGGTACAGGGTTTCTTCATAAGAGATCTCTGCCATTTTGGGCACTGCTGACTGCCCATGCTTCTTAAAGTCCTTTTGTTCTTAGGGTTTTGGGAAGGCACCACCTCCCAAGTCTGCCTCCTCTGCCTCCCCCATATGCTGGAGTTCCCCGGGGTTCCCTCCTTGGCCACCCCCTCTGCCCTTCTTCGTCTTCTGGGCAAGCTTAGCCACTCACAGTGCCAAAGAACCCTCAGGTGCTGGTGGCTCTGAGACCTGCACTGGGCCCTGGCCGCCCTCCTGGGCTTTAGGTGTGTTCTACAGATTCACCACAGGCACCTCCAGCTGCTCCCTCAGCCCCCATCCCGCCCTGTGATCTTCATCTCAAGTCCTTCCTCTCCCGCATCCCCATGCCCCCCAACTTCGAAGTCACCAGCAAGCCAGGCTGCTCTCTGCCC